GGTACAGATATATAATGAAGGGGACAGGGAGACCTGGGCTTGTGGAAGTGTGGGGTATCGAGGACGCGTTGAGAAGGACCGCGACCATGGCAGGGACTGGGAAATAGGCCGTAAGTGAGGGACACGCATACGAACATGTATTTGCATTTGCATCGATGCATTGATTCGTACATAATTGTGCGCTCATGCTCAAAGCACAGTGGATTGACACCTTTCAAGAGAGCCTGCGCTATTTCCAAGAAAATCGAATCATCAAAGATTGGCTGGATCCTTATGCCGCTGTGGGTTGCCGGTGACTGTTTGAACAACCAAACCAGGACATACAACTGATCGTGCATGCACACTATACCGGACCCCGGTACATCCTGCCCGAGGCTTGGGCCTGTCTTTGTTGCCACCATCGAGGAGTCCTTCATGGACCCTTTCTTCGTGCCTCAATATTCTGATACAGACGACACTTACCGAATCTACTGATCAACAGAATATGCGGATGATGAGAGAGGGCTCCAGTTTGAACATCTTCTCTGCCTCTCCTTGATAGCATGAATTCCTTGGTCACGCCAGCGTCTTCGAAATCCAAAGAACTATTGCCCCATCTCATCAAACAAGGCAAACCAGTGGGGAGCACTTGATCAGACTGGGCCAACCAGGACAATTCTATTCATCGTCTGTGCGCTCTTAGCAGCGGCAATGCACCTTTCTGCAGTACGAAAGTGAAAGACATCTCACGCATCTGAGGCCGCACGGGATACCGGGGAATCGGAACGCAGCATTATCTTCGATCACCAAATGCAGCAGCTGTCGAAAGAATCGAAAGAGTCACAGCATCTCCGTGGTCGAGAAGTACACCGTTTTAGGAAAGAGATTCGGCGTTCAATTGCTTTTCAGTTTACTGAACAACACCATCGGTGGGTGTTCCCTATGTCAAAATATCACTTTTTTTGAGTAAAAAGCGAAGGGGGATTCAGAGGAGCTTTCCTTCGAATGACTGCACCCTGCTATATACACTGCACCATGCTGTTGTTGGGTACATCAGGGCTTGTAAGAACGAGAAAAAAAAACGATGGAATGGTTTGAAGGTTCCATTTACGTCAATAAAAGGGCTATTTTTTTCTGAACTTGTATAGTGGATGCTATGGAATTGGAACTTGACTTCGGTCCATCGTGGTTCTTAGGCGCTTGCTCATATTAAAGGCTGTGTGTACCACGTGTATAGTGGATGCTAGGGAATTGGAACTTGACTTGCGGTCCATTGTGGTTCTTAGGCGCTTGCTCATATTAAAGGCTGTGTGTACCATGTGCGCCATGTCCATGCTGCTTGATGTTATTTTTGACAGAGATTGATCGATGCGTCGGGTGTGGGTTAAAAAGTGTCATCTTTGCTCACCGATATAGTTGGTGCCCCTAGCCCTTCAGACACTAGCGAAAAATGGAGAGTTCGAAGTTAGCTCCTCATTGTGGTTCTTAGCGCTTGCTCATCTAAGGCTGTGTGTGCTGTTCTCCGGCCAATACAATTGCATGAGAAATCACTGCGATGCTATGACAACTTGACAAAAATTAGACAGGTTCTCAATTTCACAACAATCAGGAGCATGCTGTGTACATGGCTATAAAGTCAAATCGTCGATGAGTGATACGCCCCACTAGTATCTGGCAAATCATCTTAAAGACACAAAGTGAACCCATGCGACGGATTAAAAGGTTTGTTATTCCATGAGCTGATTTAGTCTTCTTCTGACAATCAATATTAGGCGCCTTTTCTCCCCAGGAGCGACTCAGGACAATAATGCTCCACCGTCCGTCATTTCAGAAAACGAGCAAGAAAAAGAATACATGCTTTACAAGGAACAATGGAACGACACCTTCCAAGAGAGCCTCCGTGATTTCCAGCTCAGATTTGAAGAGGAGGAGACGGCCCGGTCAGTGGGAGAGCGTGGACGACAGAACGAATTTGATCGTACAATGGCTAATTTTAATGATATTTTCCTGACAAGCCACCTACGACGACAAGAACTGTACGAGAAAGCCGACGCGCTTCAGGAGGAGAGATTTCAAAGGGCTGATGCTGCACGAGAGGCTATATTTGTCCAGGGGCAACAAGTTCGTTCACGCGCTTTTGAAGTCGAGGAGGAGTTGCGCAAGAAGCAAGTAGAATGGTATAGTACAGCACAAAAGGGGCTCTTCAGCGACGGTCATCGGCGATTGGCACAAAAATACGATGCTCTCAACGCCGCTTTGGTGGAACAGTTTGGCAGAATCGTTGAAAGGCAGAAAGACATGATGGAAGTTGCCGAGGAACAGTCGAACCATCAGGACACGGTGAGCTTCGAAAACGATCGGTATCTGCATTCTAACGAAATGCAATACTTAGCGTATGCCTGTACCCCTTGAAGGAAGCTTGGGGCCTGTAAATCCGCAATCAGTCACTCCATTGCCACCTTCGCCAAAGAGTTCAACTTTGTCTTCCTCGCCTCGTGCTCAAAACCTCGAAACCACTTCACAACCAACGTCCATCACATCTGATGATCTACTGGATATGCGCATTTCTCGACCTCCATCTTTGATGAGGAGCCGATCTTGGGCTCATCCTGAGAGCCTCACACCCTGCACGCAGCCAACGTCTGCTGAATCTAGTGATCAACAGAAGCAATCACTCTATCTGGTTGAACAAGGCAATCTCGAAGGGAGCACTCAGACAGACGGGGTAGAGGATGAATTGCAATCATATTTTATGCGCTCTCAAGAGCAGCGGCAAGAAACATTCTTGCAGGATGAGAGCGAAAGAGATTGCAGATTTCGTGCATCAGAAGCCGCACGGGACACTGGGGAATTGAAACGCAGCACTATCTTCGACCACAAAATGACTCAGTGGCCGAAGAAATCACAGATCGAGCAATTCCGTGGTCGCGAAGAAGAACGCTTTAGGAGGGGCATCCAACGTTCCCTTGCTTTTCAAACTGCCGAATATCAGCATTGGACTGCATTAGAACTGTCGATGACGACCATCATATATATATCGGATGCGGAGGAGGATTTAGAAGAAATTTACTTCAAGCGTCAGGAGGATATGCTTCTGGCGTTATACGAACGCCAAGCCATCCAACTTAAACAACGGACTGAAGATCAAATTGTTTTATTCAAGTTGATGCGGGACGGCGATGGCAGTCCTGTAGGTGCGAGTCCGGTAAATACAAACCTTTTCTTTCGTGCGACGCATACAATTTATCGTATCATAGGGGCACAGTCTTATTCGAGAGTGTAGGTAGGTATGGAGACAGACTTTTTCATGAGAGGCCGACTTCGACCTCAGTTTGTCAGGTTACAAAGGCTCTACAGAAGGTTTCGTAAGTCGTTTGAAGTCGTTTGAGCTATTCGCCTTCTTCAAAGACACTGAACACATGCACAGGCGCTGCCTGTAATGTTTAAAGGTCCACTCATTCACAAAGCACTTCCAGTACCCAAGGTTGCAGATAGTGATCAACGCAACATGCACAAACGGCAAGGACATCTTGTTGACTTGAAGAGAATGCAGGAGATGTTTGAGTGTTCGCAGGAATTGAGAGACGAAGCTTTTCAGAAAGGTGCAAAAGCACGGAATTACACATTCACAATCAACGAGGCAAAACGTGAGGCCGAATTTGTGAACGTCCAGCAGAAACGCAAGGAACGCTTTGACGAGGCTGAGTATTCGCGCGAATCTGAATTTGACAAGGCTCAGCAGCAACGTGAGTCCGAATTTCGAGCCAATGAACGAAAACGAGAGGACGACTTCCTTAAAAGTGAAGTGGAAAGAAACGACCGAGCGAGCGAGGAACGAGATGAACGAGCGCAACAGTTTCAGTCGATAACGTCCGAACTGCAACAACGACGCATTGATAACGAGGAAGGGCGACTGAAGGAGCTGGAACTCTTGGGAGAGGAGCTGATGTCGAGTAGAGAGCAAGGTTTGCCATTGAATCTTCGGAAGTTTCCACGGAGATATCTTAGTCATTCGCTGTGGTGGGAGGCGCACTTTATGATCTTTTCCCGACCCACTCGCATGCTTCATCAAGAACAACCAAGAATATCATGGACCCGGCTGCATCGCTCTAGAGTACGAGACGGAGGATGAGGGAGGGTCTTGAATGTGTCGTGGAAATATGTAGCACGGATAACTTGAAATGAACGTGTGTCCTCGAGGTAGTCTACATATGTAAATCGCATGGGCATCTGGTCTGTCGTATACTGTTGCTATTGTACCACACCATGAATCGGGGCATGGAAGTTGAACGTAGGGACAGCGTGTACCCTCACACGCTTCAGTTTGCGCCGAAGAGTAAATCGAGGCTCAAGACAACAGCGAGAGCGTAGGGGCCATTGTGATCACCGCAAGTCGAAATTGCAAAACGTTTGTGTTAAGGTTAAGATAACTTTCATTCACTTGACCGTATGTAGGACGTGGCAGCAGCGAGTCGAACGGTGGGACAAATGTCCATGAACCCCATGTCCAAACCCACATGCTTCCACACTGGCGTTACTGTTCTAATCAGAGCTTGCGAGAGAAAGTAGAAACAGGCCCAGAGGGCCCGTGCGTGGGCTTAGAGAGATGCACAAAAAGAGACATTCGTGCACTGAAGTGGGTACGACACATTGCTTCCTCGCTACTTCCTGAGGAACAAGTACCGGCTTTGTCACTAGTAGTATATCATTTCAGATGTACAGGAAGCTATCGCGTCGTTGTGTGCAGCTGCGTCTTGGCAGGACGTGGCGTTCGATCCCTCGGTTCCGGCGAGAAAGAGATCATCCACCGAGCAGAGAGAAAAAAGGACGAGCGAATCAGTATAGCAGCTCGGGGACGAAAGTGTTATCAAGTTTTCGCGTCGTGGCGTGACGTGCAGCTGTGTCTTGGGATGTGGTATGTGACGCCTCGGTTCATGTCCAATCAAGCCCACACGCTTCAAAGCTGGAGTTCCTTGCGAGGGGAGAGGCCTACATAAAAACAAATGCAGTCCCAGCCATCATAGCAGCAACTTGTTTCGATCAAGTGACCTCGGGGTTCGATATCTGGATCTATTATGTCCTGTAATATGGGCCCCGCGCGCTTCCAACTGCGCCATGCTGCTTGGTGCTTGGTGGAATGCTTGATGGAAGATGAGTTACGCGTTAGTTGAGAACGTGAGGCGCGAACGGAGGACTACTCACTTCCGACACTGTACACTGTCGTGCCTGAGCTCCACACTCACACTCCCGCGACCACACTCACACTCGAGCCAGCCACACCTCCTGTCGAGCACCCCATACTCATTGTCTAAGTCACACACTCTGTTGTAGCGTAACACAGTGATGCTGGCTAAACTATTAATCATATGTTTTTATCACAATATCCATTAGACCAGATGGCCTCGAATGGATGAAAAATGTAATTGATTGAGTAAGGGGAGCAAGCTCCCCTTGATAGACATCCCTGTCCTAAGCCATAACTGAACCCTAACCCTAACCAGCCCTAACCCCTAACAGCCTAACCAACGAACCCTAACTGAACCTAAAGCGTGAGTGTGGCTGGCTCGAGCGTGAGTGTGGTCGCGGGAGTGTGAGTGTGGAGCTCAGGCACGACAGTGTACAGTGTCGGAAGTGTACATTCCTGGCGCGAACGAGGGGATCTGGAGGGGACGAGCTATTGTCTCGTCAACTGCTTGGCAGAACGTCGCATGTGGTCCCTTGCTTGGAAGAGAAAAAACATAAAAAGATCGATAAGGAGGGCCCCACCGAGCAGTAAAAGAAAGGTCTGCGGACTTTTTCAATAGCAGCAACTTGTTTCGATCAAGTGACCTCGGGGTTGGATATGCGAATTTTTGCTCTGAGTATCCTCCGATATGGGCCCCGCGCGCTTCCAACTGCGCCATGCTGCTTGTTACTTGGTGTTATGCATGATGGAAGATGAGTGATGGATTGGTTGAGAACGTGAGGCGCGAACGAGGGGATCAGGAGGGGACGAGCTATTGTCGAGTCGTCTGCAGCTGCTTGGCAGGACGCGGCATGTCGCTTTGCTTGGAAGAGAAAAAAGATAAAAAGATCGATAAGGAGGGCCCCCGAGCAGTAAAATACAAGGATGCAGGCTTTTAATAGCAGCAACTTGTTTCGATCAAGTGACCTCGGGGTTCAATATCTACATCTACCTCGATATGGGCCCCGCGCGCTTCCGACTGCGCCATGCTGCTTGATGTTGTGCTTCATGGAAGTAGAATGATGGGTTGGTTGAGGACGTGAGGCGCGAGGGGAGGGAAGGCGTTGTTCTGCAGCTGCGACGTGGCATTTGATCCCTCGGTGTTGACGAGAAAGAGAGCCACCGAGCAGAGAGGGAAAGAAAAAGGACGAAACGAGAGTATGGCAGCAACTCGGGGTTCGTTATTTCATGGCACACGCTTGGTGCAGTGATGAGAGGCCGCGCGAGGATCCTTCAAAAACTATTCATTTTACAATCGATATAGCAGCAACTTGTTTCGATCAAGTGACCTCGGGGTGACAAGTGATATGGGCCCCGCGCGCTTCCAACTGCGCCATGCTGCTGTGTTGGACAAAAGTTGCAAACGTGGACGTATGTGTGCATGAGATGTACGGAAAACATGCAAAGTGTGAGTGGAGAAGAAGCGGGAGTGGCGGTGTTTGGCGGAACCAAAGTCTGTGAAGCGGACTTGTGCCACGCGCGAGAGGAGACTACAATTTTGCTTTCTCACACCACAACGGGGCTAGGTCTGCCTTATGTCAGGCAAGGCGCCGCCCAAGGGCCCCCGTGCCCTCTGTGGGTCCGGGGGGCCCAGCCAGCCAGCACAACAGACAACGTATGGGAGTGGGAGTGGAAGTGGAAGCCGTGATGGGACGGGGAACTCGACGACGACACATCGGAAGGCGATACCGACGGGGCCGCGGAGTCTTGCAGGGACGAACGGGACTGGGAGACGAGTGCGGGAGTGGGAAATGGAAGAGACGCACGGAGCGCTAGCGAACGACCGTGCGCCAATATCGATCAAGAACAAGACGACAGTGGTTAGAAAAATGTTCTGTGATGCATGTGAAGGGCTTCTGCTGACGGGGGCTTTATATAAATTTACAGAATGGCGCAGGACATCACGCAAAAATGGACACGACTTTCAAGCCCCCGCCACCAGACTACGATCCACCCCCGCCACCCCACGATCCACCCCCGCCGCCTGAGCCGTCACTGCTGCCCCCACCGACGCCCCAGAGACCGCCCAGTCCACAGAGACCCCCGAGTCCACAGAGACCGCCCAGTCCACGGCCCCCAACTCCAAGTCCCAGTCCACCGCCAAAACCGCCGACCCCACCGCCGCCGTCATGGCCACCGCCACCGTCTGCCTACCCGCCAAACCTGCGCACATACAAAGTCCTCTTTGACCCGCACCTCGACCTGATCCCACCCCCCAGGGAATCCTTCAAATCCGATTCACCCATCGTGCACACCGCCCCCAGCATGCTCGCCGCCCAGAACTACGCCCCCCTGGCAATCCTCGCCGCGTCGTCTGCGGAATCCGGCGAGGATTCCCACCCCAAGCGAGACCTCAAGTACTACCGCGCGCTTCTGGAGCACTGCAAGCGCCACCACCCGAAACGCATCAGGGCCAAGAAAGACAAGGAGGCGCTGCTCAGATTCGACGGCGACGTCCTGCCGCCCTCTGCGACTGCAGATCCCAGATCCACCTCTGGCGAATCCGTTTCCACGCCCACGGTACTCGAGCCGCCGGCAGTCCCGCACGACCCGCGCCGGCACCCCGCCGCGAAAAAATCCAAGCTCGCGCTCGCACGGCCGTTCCGGGAGACGCTCGTCGAGGTTGCGTACGAGGTGCGTTGCTGTTCCGGTGTCCCCGCGCGTAAGTTCCCCCGCACTAATCCATCCCCCTTCCAACCTTTTCCTACAGCACGACGAGCACTCCCCCAGCGCCGCGCCCGTCGGCGTCACCGTCGCGTGCATCCCCCCGCTCACGCCCCCGCCCCTCCTCCGCACGCATTTTCGCGCCCACGGCGCACTCGCCGCCTTTGAGTGGCTCAAGAACCGCGCAAACGGCGCGCCACTCGGCGTGTTGCATCTACGCTTTGCGACGCCCGACGAGGCCGCGCGGTGTATCAAGGCCGAGGACGGCCGCAGGGCGACGTTTGGCGTCGGGTTCAAGGTCGCTGCAGGTGCCGGCGCTGGTGCCGAGGAGGAGGGCGAGCGTCTTAGGGCTGTGCTGGACACGCATGGAAAGGTCGCTGCTGCGGTCGTCAAGGAGCTCGAGGCGCGCATGGAGAGGGAGAAGGAGGACAGGAGGAGGAAGGAGAAGGGTCTGCCGCCGCTTGCCGCAACGAATGGGAGCGCGAGTGCGGGCGGGAAGACGCAGACGCCCCGCGCAGAGGGGACCCCACAGACGCAGCCGCAGCCGCCGCCACCGTCATCGTCGACGACGACGACGCAGAAGAGAGGCCCGACGCCGCAGCAAAACCAAGTTGCAGGGCCCAGCGCGACACCAACGCAGACGCAGACGCAGTCACAAAGTCAGCTCCACCCGACGCTCCCTCCAAAACCCGTCGCGCCCTCCCCGCGTCCGCCTGCGAACGCGAGCGCGAATACGCCGGCGGGGACGAGCGCGAGCGCGAACGGGACCCCGCACGCGCACGCGCAGAGTGTGCATCCGAATCTGGCGCAGGCGTTGCAGCAGCATGGGTTGCCGGTGCACCCGGGGGCGCACAAGGAGCGCGAGCGGGGCGAGAGGGAGAGGGAGGGCCAGCGCGAGCGGGGCGACAGGGACAGGGGCGACAGGGACAGGGGCGACAGGGACAGGGAGAGGGAGAGGGAGAGGGAGAGGGGCGACAGGGAGAGGGAGAGGGACAGGGAGAGGGCGATTGCGCAGCCTATGCGGGAGAGGGACGAGCGGGATAGGGATAGAGAGTGGGACAGGGAGAGGGAGTGGAGGGCTGGTGGGAGTGGGTATCGAGGACGCGTCGAGCGGGACCGGGACCGTGACCGGGATCGAGACAGAGACTGGGACAGAGATTGGGATCGAGACAGGGACAGAGACTGGGATCGAGACCGCGAACGAGGGCGCGACACGCACACGCACACGCATCCGCACTCGCGCGTAGACTCGTACGTCCCCGCGCGCTCACACCCCCATCCACATCCACATCCGCCGCATCCACACGGGCACGGACACGGACACTCGCCACCGCCGTTCATCCGCGGTGTGCGGGACAGCTGGCGGCCGGGGTCGCGCGACGACGAGCGCGACGACGGGCATGGGCACGTGGGGCACGAGCGTTTCAGGCGTAAGGCGAGGTGGTCGCGTAGTCGGTCGCGGAGTAGTCGGGGGAGCCGGAGCCGGAGCCGGAGCCGTACTCGCAGTCGCAGTAGGAGTCGCAGTAGGAGTCGCAGTCGCAGTCGCAGTCGCAGTAGGAGTGGGAGCAGGAGTAGGAGTAGGAGCAGGAGCAGGGGTCGGGAGGGGCGGGGGAAGCGCGAGACGCGGGAGGAGAGGGAGGAGCGGCATATGTGTGTTGTTGAGAAGCTTGCGCGGAACGCGCGGGAGCATGTTAGGTTTCCGCTTGTCGGGGGCGTGCGGGAGGAGGATGTTAGGGTGTTCTTTGAGGGGTTCAAGGTTGATCTGGTGGGTTTTGCGTTTTAATCTCGCTTTCTTTTCCTTTCCTTTTCTTTATTCTAAGAGTATGGCAATGGTCTGATTCATATTCGTGGTAACCTACACAACAGATCCTAAAAGACCACGTAGGGTGGTATGTAACCTTTACGACGCCGGACGGTGCGCTGCGCGCCTCGCGCGTGCTGTCCAACTCAACCGCGAAGAAGCTCGGGTACCAGCCCGTCACTTTAACCGTGCACGCCGCGCCGCCGATGCCCGTCTCTGGGCCGAAAGACGGCAAATGGGACGACGGCGCGCTGATCGCTGCCGCGCAGGCGACGATCGAGGCGGAGCTCAAGGCCGTGCTGCGGCGCGACGTCAAGGAGCAGCTGCAGAGCGTGGAAATCATGCGTGGGCCCGTGGGGCGGGAGATGTTGGAGGCGATCGGGAGGGAGAAGTTGAAGCTTGGTGGAGGCGGTGGTGGTGTGGGCGAGGGGAGGGGGCTTAAGGGGTTGTCGTTTAGGAAGGCGAAGCCGAAGGTTGTTGTGGTTGAGGAGGTGCCGCACGAGGGGGCTGAGGAGGGTGAGGGCGAGCAGGAGCAGGAGCAGGAGCAGGTGGAGGTGGAGGAGAGACCGAAGAAGAAGAGGAAGAAGGAGGTTGTGAGGAAGGTTAGTAGGAAGGTTGTGGATGAGGAGGTCGAGTCGGAGGAGGAAGGAGAGAAGGAGAAGGTGCAGGTGCAGGTGCAGGATGTGATGAGGAAGAGGGGGGTGGAGGGGGAGCAGGAGATTGGTGTGCCTGTGCGCAAGAAGCAGAAGGTGCAGGTGGAGATCGAGGTGGAGACGACGACGACGACAAAGACGAAAAAGGGCGCGGCGAAGAAAAAGACGACGACAAAGAAGACGCTCAAGAAGACGCTTGAGACTGTTCAGGATGTCCTGTTCCCCGAGGACTATGACGTCCCTTCTGTCGCTCAAGTTCGCATCACACCGAGCTCGTCCCGCTCACAATCGCCGACTCCAGATCTCAAGCGACCGCGCGTGGTCACGCCCCCACCGACGCCCCCACTCGACCCGTACACCGCAGGCTTGTGCGAAGACGACGAGGACGTCTACTTCCTCAAGCTCGCACTGAATGGCCACCAATTCCCCACCAAGAAGGAAGACGAGCACGAATCCAAATCCCACATCCACATCCACCACCATCAACCCGTGACGCCGCACACCAGCGCACTGCCTTCGCCGCCCGAGACCCCCGCGTTCCGCAAACACATCACGGGCTCCGCGCGGACTGAGGGGTACTACAAAATCACGCACGCGGAAAAGGCCGCATACGTCGCGCAGTACCAGGCACGCGCGGCTGCCGCGGCTGTTGAGGCCGCTCCGCCGCCGGAGGAACCGCAGCAGCACATCACGTCGTCCCGGTCCAACCGCGCGAATGCGCGCCGGCGCGCGCAGGGGCTCGAGGAGTTCAACCAGGTGCAGCGCGCGGTGGCGCTGTCCAAGGGCGAGGCCGCGGCGAGCGAGCTGACGTTCAAGTTTAACCAGCTCCAGACGCGGAAGAAGCATTTGCGCTTTGGGAGGTCGCCGATTCATGAT